GAAAAAACCTGATCGGCACATCTCTACCATTTGTAAAACTATTTAAAATATCAACAGACTGCACCTACCTGTGATGAAGGCTTTCTCGATCGGATCAACAATGCTAACCAGAAACGCAGCCTGCTGTTTGCAGCTGGCGTCAGCCTGAGCCCAGGTCAGAGCTGACTGCATGTTCACCTGGTAATAAGCTCCTGTAACAATGTTTCTGTTCCAGTGTTCTGTGGCTGTGCAGGTATATAAAAAAAAAGTTTTATTATCTTCATTTTGAGTTCAAACATATATCAGACACTCTATTTATTTTAAGTGTTAGAACTGTGATCGGCAATTTCAGTACTGCATGTTTAAGCTGTTTACTTTATCAAAACCACATAAGTGGTCGTTACCAGGATTGTGCATATTGTGATAAAATGCTTAGGATGTAATTCTCTCAATTAAATGTAATTTCAATCAGACTAAATCGGTCAGAACTGTCATATTTTGTTCACAAGACATTGTTTTCCATATAAAGATGCTTCCAGAAGAGTTTAGCGATAGCTAGAGCTGACAAACTTACAAGACGATGGGCAGTATCCCCACTGTTCATGCTGATATTTGGTTTCAGTTGCACACCAGCTGCGCTTCGTTTTGGAGTCATAAGTGGTGCAGTCACCAAACCATCGGTCCTTGTACATGAAGGGAAACATGCAGATTTTGCCAAACGAATTCCCTCCAATTGTGTAATATTCTACAGGGGAAATAAAAAGTTCTTCATGTTAAGTCAACCAGTTTTTTAAGGGAACAAAAATTATTTTCACGCCTTTTCAGTATTTTTTTACTACACATTTTCCACTTTGAGGAAATGGAAAAAAAGAAGTGAAAGTTTCATTGAGGTTCATTAGTCTCATTGTTTACAACCTCCACTTACCCACAAAGTCACAAACACAAATGATTTGTACCTCTGTGTGTTCTTGTACAGGCACCACTAGATGTCCCTGCAATGGTCAGGTGGTTGTTCGGCCCAACAGTTTTGGACAGAACGACTGATTCATCTGTTTTGACTTCAATGTAGAACGGCTGATCTTTCAGAGTAAGCAGGGTTCCGTTTTGGCAGTCCCACTTCTGTAGGTCACTGTTTTCGTCGCAGTCGTACTGGCTCACCTCACTCCCCACACTTTTGCCCTGAGCACCCAGACATTTCTTGGTCGAAACCACAAAAAGCCGGTTACTGGTTGTCCAGCGAATTTCAGTGCAGCGAGTACCTCTTTTGGCCAAACAAAACCCAGTGGCCTTGTTCATCAGAATAAATGGGGAATCTGCAAAGAAAAACATTTAAAATAAAACGGTTTTTATGCCTTAAAGATTTTTTTTTTTATATGTATGCAATTGTAGTATCACTGCCAAATTTAAAGCCATGCATGTGCAAGATTGAAATACAAAGTGTGGTTATGCATTTGTTAATTTTGTCTGTTTGCATGAAACTGTGAGTTAAATATAAATACCACTTCTCACTTTATTTGAAAATTCTTTTATAAAAGCATTAAATTAAATTAAAACTGCCAGAACTGGAACCTTATAAACTTATTTGTCAAAATGTTACATGTTTCATATAAAATAAATGCTAAAATAATGCAAATATAGTAATAAAGGGAATCTGAAGCTATTAAATATATTTGCAGGCATGCATTCTATAAGCAAATCACCACCAATAATTGCCTATAAAAAAATGCACAAGAAACAACATCATCATCATCAAATGCTGATATAATAAGTAACATACAAAACAGCATAGGTTAAACAATACCGTTTGTTAATGTTGTCGATCCCTGCAATGCTAGCACGAGGAGCACAAGGGCTGCAAGTGCAATCCTTAGAGGTGACATTCTTCTAAGTCCCATAGCAGAAGACATCATCCCTGCATTGCAAGCAGAGGACATATGAGTGCAAACATGAAAAGGAGGGAATCTTAATAGCACACCGACATGTTCTCCTTTTTTTCCCCCTTTTCATTGAGAAACTGTCATGTTTCAGATTGGCACATTTCAACATTTTGCTACTGGCTAAAAAAAAAAAAAAAAAAAAAGAAGGAAGTTAAGGACAGCATGCACACAAACACATACACAAACATGCCTTTCCCTCGCACGGATGTTACACTCCAGAAATGGAAAAAGCTGGCCCCATTCATTATGCAAAAAAAAAAAAAAGTTGCTTTGGGTAAGCACAATTCATGCAGAAAACATTCAGTACACAAGCATGTTTTTCCTCGCACGGATGTTGCACTCCAGAAATGGAAAAATGCTGGCCCCACTAGCTATAGGGAAAAAAAATTGCTTTGGGTAAACGCAAATAAATTAGAAAACATTTAGCACTTTCTTAATAGAAATGTGAATGATTGAGATTTTGGACCACCATCCACTTTGAAAAAACCACTGAGGCAGTAGGTTGACACAGCTTAACCTTATGTTGCAACTGCGTCCATTTTCCAGCTACTCAAAACAACTACAACTAAAGATTGTGTTTTCAGTAATTAGCAACTGTTATGTGTTCATGCAAAACATGTGAGAAAATATTTAGCTTTTTAGTTAGCTTATCGGTTTTGAATATCCAGCAGCCTTAAGCTAATGTTTTTACACAGCATGTGCTTTCATTAACATGTGGGTCATGTATGACGTTTTTGTTATGAGTATGAAAAAAATCAAAGCAAAATTCACATGTCACCAAGGATCCCACTTTTTACCTAGAGTTTTCTGGATCGAATCCTCACATGATAATTAAACCAAGCTTTTTTTTTAGTGCTTTCTACTCTTTCAATGACCTCAAATACCTTTTCCACTAAAACCATGTTCACTCATGCTCAAACTTTCTTACACTGATATGCAGATTAGTAATCAGTTACGGGATAAGTGACTTGCACAAGATTAGACTGAGATGTAAGGAAGCAGTCACTGTGCAACAGTCCTGTTGGCTGGATCATCTTTAAGCTATTGTACATTAATGAACAACATAGTTTGCTAAACTGAATGGAACAATGTCTGCAGGCATTGGCAACAGTTTCTGGATGGTTCCTGAATCATAAATGTGCTTTTTACAGACTGTTTTTGCAGTTTGGCTTGCTATCCATCCAGAGATGTTCAGTTCCAAACTAATCTGAAATCCTCAATTTTAAATTAAGTTCTGTACAACAAATCTCCTCCACTCATGGGACATTACGAGGACGAGCAGGAATAACTGGATGATGGAGGATGCATTTCCTTTTCTCCCACATGTCCAATAGTGAGCTTTGCATCTTGCAACAGATGTAAGGACACATATGGTCTTTCATAAGGTTTTGAGACAAGAGCTGCATTTAATGTTGCTGATATAAACAACATTATGTTCATCCTGAGTGAAGCAACATAATATCCTGTGTTGGAGTGGAGAAATTCAGATGTCCATCTCTTCCTTTACATTTTTCATAGCATTTAGTATTTTCACTTCCTCTTTTGTTATTTTCCTTTCTTCTGAGTTGGAGTATTTTGCTGAAATATCAACCTTTGTAACTGCAGGGCTTTTTGTGTGAGTCTGCTGAAGCAGAAGACAGACAAATGCATGTAAAGCTGAATTACACTTTACCAAATGTACCTCAGCTTTGCAAAACATAAACTTTGGTGGGATATTATTTTTTCACAAAAAATCTATATTTTACTAAAACACCTAGCAAATAAGACTCTAAGCAATAAAGTTTTTACCAGACCCCCCAAACAAAAGCTTGTTTGTAAAACTGATCAAAGTTATTACCCCTTTTATTTCCAATTAAACAAAAAATGTCTCCCATTTTATTTGCACTGAAGGAAAAGTTAGAACCAAAATTTTGTGACAAGTTTTGAAACTGTAGCTTTTCAGATTATCCTCTTGCATATTAAGATATTTGGATTTAAGGTTTACATAATGTTAAAATAAAACATCAACTCTGTCCTCAGCTCTGCATGCGACTTAAAGTTATGGAGGTCGAAGTTCACCTCCATGCAGGATGCTGTAAAACTTGATTAGTTTTATCTGAAACATTTATGCTTATTCTAGTTTGTTTTATCTGAAGTCTTACTTAACTTTCAAATAAAGACATGCAGCATGATGACAAAAGTAGCAGGTTACTGAGTGCATGCTGTACTTTAAGCTGTCATTTAAGCTGTGATAAGGCTTCACAGCCTTGGCTAATCTAATGTAGTAAAGATGCCATTTGGATTATTCCAGCTCAGTGTTTGTTGAAAGCTTAGAAAGATATGATGTGTTAGGCGTCAGACTCTGTTTTTGTTGGACTCCCCCAGAATATTGTCTCATCTTGACTGGAGATGATACTGAACATATTGGTGCTTCTGTCAGGTAGGAAACATCAATGTTCTGTTTTATCCAGTAAATCAAAAACAACTGGACGTTGAACTTCTTTCCATCTCGTTTACATTTCTACTTGTTATCAGGACTGGGGACTATTGTGTCCTGCTGTTCCAGTGGGAATTTTAATTGCACATCAGGAGAATGTGTACCTGCTCAAAAGCTTTGTGATTTTAGAGAGAACTGTGAAGATGGCTCAGATGAAGAGTTTTGTGGTAAGACACATTCATCAGACTTCATTCTCTACCTAGTTTCTGCCATGGACAACCACTTGAAACCAGATTTTTATATACACCATTGATATTATTTATTGATATTAGGTCCAAAAGAACTTTGCCTCTTTTAAAATCAATGAGAATTTGGAAAACAGTTTTTATTTGCTTATTGCAACAATAATAGCAGAAAGCTAATTTTTGTAGCAAAATTAAAATTAAACTACAATTGATGTATTTCAATTAGGGCTGTTGTAAACGATTACTGTAGTAATTGAGTAATCTATTGATTATTCTGCCGATTAATCGAGTAATCAGATTTAAAAAAAAAAAGTATAAGATAAAATACTGGTAAATACTGCCATAACAGCAATATTAATATCGGATATCAACATCAGCCCCAAATTTTCATATTTGTGCATCCCTAACAAATACTTTTCTGGAGTTTAGAAAATTAACCTGTAAATAATATACCAAGCTCACTTTTTAAAAGTTATACAAAGACCTGAACTTACATTCAATTTAATAATAAAGCAGCAGGCACTTCTAAAACAAACAAACAAAACAAAAAACTATACTCCAGTTTCAGTGTATTCATCTTCAGTCAATTTAAGAAATGAACTCTCACAGTCGGTTATCTTTCGTGACCACGTTAGCGACAGGATTTGGTACCTTCCTCATACAAAGAAACACACCTGCCAGGTATGCTCCGCTCCGCCACCCATTTGCTGTGGCAGGATGGTGGTTAATTTATTTTCAGTTTTGTCTGTAAAGCTACGCTAACAATTAGCTACAGCAGACCACCGTGTTCACTCTGTCTGAAGCAGTGGTGGGAAGTAACGAAGTACAAGTACTTCGTTACTGT